TTGATTCTCTAACAGGCAGTGTGGGCTCTAGGAAATGTTGCTGGCGACTCTCCTAGTTGCAGGGATCTTGTTCTTGGACAAGGTGCACTAATGCCATTGCTAGCTCAATTAAATGAACATTCCAAGTTATCCATGCTAAGGAATGCTACATGGACTTTATCAAACTTTTGTCGTGGCAAGCCAGCAACACCATTTGATCAGGTTCGTGGGGATTTCGAGAATTTTTTCTGGTTAAAACCTTAATAATATATGTTAAATGTCAGTTGGTATCCCTTCCTAATTTAATTTTGGTTGATGCCTTACGTGACTGTAATAAGTACCCTTTCTGCTTGCTTATCTGCATGTTTTTTTGTTTCAGGTGAAGCCTGCCTTACCAATTCTTCGACAACTTATTTACTTAAATGATGAAGAAGTCTTGACAGACGCTTGCTGGGCCCTATCATATCTCTCAGATGGTCCAAATGACAAAATTCAGGCTGTGATTGAAGCGGGCGTCTGCCAGCGACTTATGGAGCTTCTGATGTAAGTTTCTATACTCTCTACAAACTATTCACATGTGGCAGTGGCCTTCACTGGGCCATATTATCTTAGCATAGTTGTTTAGGATACTCACCTTGAGTGATTTTTTATTCACTACGATTTGTTTATGCCAGTCATCCATCACCTACGGTTCTTATACCTGCTCTTCGGACAGTGGGAAACATTGTTACTGGTGATGATTCCCAGACTCAGGTATTAACACTAATTTGTATTTACCCTTTAGAGCCCAATGTCATCCGAATCTGCTCTTCCTGCAGGACAGCAGTTCTATGTTTTTGTTTTTGTTTTTTATAATGCCTTGATTTTCACTGCTATGTATGGCAACAAAATGACCTCTGTATATGTTCCAGTTTGTTATTGATAACCAAGTGCTCCCTCGCCTCCATCAACTTCTCACACAAAATCACAAAAAGAGCATCAAGAAAGAAGCTTGTTGGACAATTTCAAATATCACAGCCGGGAATAAAATTCAAATACAGGTATAAATTCCGTTAAATTGCATTTGGATTTCTGGATTTAAATTCGACTACTTAGTTTAAATTGTTTGCATCAAATGTTAAAAGAAAAACAAGAAAAGAAAGTTGTGATACTCACTTGTCATGAATTGAGAAAAGCATTTATAAGAACATATATTTCTTGGGCATTTGAAGTTCATCATTTTCCAAATAAATGTATTTAAAGTGTGGATTTTATTAAATATAAAAATCACTACTTCTCTTGTTAGACAGTATGGACCAAGAAGTCAAATTCAAATATTTTCTTCTAAGGGTACCAAAGTACCAATCGTAGCGCAACATGAGTAAATTTTGCACCTATCAGTTTTTCTTATCTCATGCATTTTGTTAATGCATGGCACCCACTAAATCCACTGTACTACGTTTTCATGTTCAGGGTGGGTGTCTGGTGTTTCATAACCATCTCTACAAGTAGGATGACTGCATGATATAACTGGATGGTTTTTTTTGTACTCTTTTATTTAGTGGTAGATCAGTTGGGGGATTGTTGGGTAAGAGCCCCACACTTACATAGCCTAGTTGTGACAACGAAGGGAGATTTTGTATATTAGTTATTTTATTAACACTTATATTTTGTTTTGACTGATATTGTTTCTTACCAGTTATATAATTACTTGGCAAAGAAAATGCTTATAAATTTCTATGGATGTTTTGAATGGTCTCTGTAAATGTATTGGAATTTGTTTTCTTAATCCCTTTTGCTTGTAGGAAGTTTCCTTGATCTTTTTTCTTGCCTTGACCCACAATTAATTTGATCTGGGAGGATGTTACTTGATACAGTTCTTACATTTTTTGTCTATTAAATTCCATTTAACAGGCTGTGATTGAAGCCGATATAATCCTCCCGCTTGTGCAACTTCTCCAACATGCAGAATTTGACATAAAAAAGGAGGCCGCGTGGGCCATCTCAAATGCCACTTCTGGAGGATCTCATGACCAGATTCAGTATGCTCTACCTTTACCACTGGATTAGTTTTTCCGCCTTCATTTTTCCACTTGCATACATGGACAGATAAATACGGACACCCACATGGAAGACGCTATACAACCTAACTCTATTTCCAATTTTACTTCCAACTCTATCACAGGATTGATTCCACAATATTTTGGGTCCTACCTCATTGAGAGAGTT